CTGCCAGTAAGATAGTTCTGGTTTGTACAATCTTGCAGTTCGTAGAGGTTCATTTATTTTTAATGCCAGATCAACAGTAGTTTAATTATTTTGAACCCATATTATAACAGCAGCCTCACGAGATGAGGTATTAGGAGGTTCATTTTCTTGTACCATATGATATGGTGTTTTATCACATACATACATGCATACACACATACGTATACATTCCTACATATCCAAGTGTTATACTGTAAATAAGCTTTGCTTCAAATAAATTCTTACAATTTGTTACGTTCATATCTTCATGGAAGTGACCGGATGTCCTTTATGAATCATAAATCAATTGTACGTCCACCTGCGAGCCCAGTCTGTCCCGCTGCATTAAGAAATATTGCTCTGTCTCTATCTCTCTTTCTTCTGCCCTATCGTTTACTGTTGCAACCAGAGCTGTAGCCTCTCTAAACAACTCTTCACTCTTTAACAGTTGTCAGCCTGAGGCTCGTCTCTGTGTAAGATTGGTTTCTTTTGCCATTTATCATCATTTCTTGGAGTTCTCAAATATGTCGTACGGTGAACAGACATGCCTTTCCTTTCTGTCGAAAAATGTCTTCTGGTTCTCTGCTGCTTGAAAGTGACCCCACTCCATTCGCGTCTCTTCCGCCTTGAGGTCGAACTTCTTTCTGACGAGAAGGCGAATCTTGCGGAAAGACGAAATTTCTTCGTATTAGTCCTAATATTTTAAGCAGGCCGCGCCATAGCTCAAGCGGTTAGTCGTTGGCTTCCCACCGCGACGACCCGGGTTCGAGCACGGGTCTGGTCAACGGGGATTTATGGAGGACAAAGTGGCGCTGTGGCAGGTTTTCTCCGAGAACTTCGGTTTCCCTTGCTCTCCTCAACACCCTGTCCTCAAACACTCTCAGTCTATGTTCCTCCATTAATATCAGAGACCAAGTGTCACACACATATAGAACCACCGGCAACGGTGAACAATAAGTTGTGTAAATTAACGATAGCGCTGCATTATATGTAATTAAGAGAGATTGTAACCAAAGCGCCAATAAATCCAATCATCAGAATTAGAACCCGTTACTTTCCTCACGCTTACCCCATACGTGTTACAGTATTATCTTTACTACTAATATTACTAATATTAGTTGTAGCAGTAGTTGTAGTAGTAACAGCAACAGAAATGTTACTGCTATTGTCTTTGCTCTGTTTTATGACTTCATAAATTATCTGTAGGGGCTTATCATCACGACAAGCCTGGTGATCCAATGCAGAGAACCGAACGTCGCGGACAAGTGATTAACACATGTATCGCCAGCTGCAAAGGATTCTGACAGGCGTATGTAACACGCGGGATTAGTGAGTTGTGGGCTTTGTCCATCCTCTGGTATTCTAAAGGAATAAAACTTTTCGGATACTGGATCACTTTCTGTCCTCAGTTGAAACTTCATTGATAAATATAAATTATTTCCGAGTAACCCGATTAATTACTCGTATTTCCCTATCCTTTCCCCTGAAGATGGAGGCAGAGCTGTTTCAGAAAATTTGTATTCATCCAGAATACCGGAAGTTGGATGAAGTTCAGGGAATCAGTAATCCTGGAAAGAGTTTATTTGTATTCGGTACGTCCCTGGTTCAATCTCGAACACCGGACTGTAATAACTGAGGTGTTTCTTGGTTTTCTCCTGTCCCTTCAGACAACTACTGACTACTTTATCAAATTAGATTGATTTCGCTTTCTTAAAAATTTGTTCTAATTGTCTAGTCAATAATTATCCTATTATTCGGCACTCTATATTATCCGAGCTCTTGAGAGCTTTGTTAGATAAGCCAGGAAAAGTAAATAGAAAAATAAATAAAATAAAAGAATTGAAGCTTCCACAAAACTAAAAATTAATAGTGTTTTTCTGGTTTATGACACCAGATAGTGTGGTACGTAAGTAACAATCTTTCGGAAAAATTTACTATTACTTGTATGTATTGATTAGATTTTTGCGCTTCAAGCATTATATTATTATTGTCACGTGTATCAGCGTGTCTATAGACGGGTTTTCGATTGAAGATCGGGTTTGTTAAACTCTTTGATACAGTGTGTGACAACACTTTACAGTTCGCTATTAGGCACACAAGCCAATGTACACATTCACGTCTTCATTAGCCGTTGCTCGGTAGCGTCTTCTAACGCGGCCTCAGCTACCAGCTTTTCACACCAACTCAAAACGACGGAACCTCAGCAGTTCTGTAACTCATTCACTAAAACACCAACTCGTCACTGAACTGATGTCAACTGAACTTAACTCAACTCAACTCTCATTAACTAATTGTCCTTATAATATCTGGGCATGAAACGCTCAGAACATATATGATTCATTATTGATCTGCAATTGTTGCCATATACACATGCTTGTTTGTTAAGCTGTTACTTAACAACGACTTTTGAATAGCTGCCTCTTCCGCCGTCGTTGCCTAGCAACAGGACTACATGCTACAATATTATATTATACTAATATGTGTGATGTGGAAGTATTTTCACAAACTGCGTCATGTTTTATGACCAATGATGTAGTTAGGCTTCCACTGATGTTACTTGGGCTCTCCGTAAATAAATTTGGTTTCAACTAGGAATCGAAGAGAAACGTTGACGCTACTACTTCACGAGTCCGCTGGAACTGAACATCATTTTAAGACCTAGGGGCAAATTCTGTTGAAAATAATGGAATATTCTGGAATATTACAATCTGTTTTAATAACTGAAACTATTGGAAGAATCTGTAAGGTTTGGGGCTGGTTGAACAGTTTAGGTAGCCCTATAGCAACCCAGCGCTGCACAGTCAATCAGTCGCTGATCTGATGCAAAGTTCAGTTCACAGGACGGTACTCTGCTCAGTTAAGTCCACCACTGCAACCGCCTTAAGCTCCAAAATTTGTATAACTTCTACTCTGTTTAATAAACATTTTGATTCAAGTTCATTATCTAGCAACGGTTACTACATGAGGCGAGGGCCGAACTTTACCAAATCCTTTCGGCATTTCCGTCGAAGCCGAAACACAAGAATGCTAAAATAAATTATAAATATTCTCCATATAATTTATGGCTTCTTATTTTTAGAGCAGAAGCTAATATTTGCTTCGACAGCAAAGGAAATGGCGCTGCTTTGAATTGGATTTCACACAGCCATCCCGAAGTGCTGTATTGCTTTTGTGAGATTGAAGAAGACATTTATATTCACTCATAGACATGTTATTCATTTTGTATGTAGACGCCGTGTGTAAACATGTTTACCTGGAATGGAAACATTTTAGGAAAGAAAGGTGGTATAGCGCTAGAATAAGCACACACCTAGGCGTCTTTACGGCAGTGCTGAAATATCCAGTAACTGAACACTTTAAAGTGGTTGATATATGTATTACTTGAATTACTTGAAGTATTTTGCACAAGAGTGTACTTATGTATATGTGTGAATGTTGTAATAAACGGTGATTATTTTGATTAAAGCAATAACAGATTGGTCTTTGTGACTGAGACGCAATATATTGCCCTGTGAGGGAAGAATGAACTTTTCAGCCTAGTTTTATTATTTTGAAAAATAAAAGGCTTCTTATAAGATAGTCTTGCTGTGTGTCTGTGTACTCATCTGTGTCTCTCTGTGAATCCATGTCTGCCTTTTCTTTGTGTGGCCAAATGTAATTTTTAGGAGGCTTATGAAATCGCCTTGATATTTGTGTGTTACTGAGCCCCATATATTTTTTTGTTTTCTATGCAGTCCGTGTCATATGAAAGGAAATTAGGGGATTAGTTATTCCCATGACTCCTTCTTTCTTGTTAATGCTTATATCTCCCTTCGAGACTTGACTTGCAGACATCGCTACAATGACAAACCACTTAATAAACGGCAATTATATATTGTTTATCTTGTAATAGTTTTCTCTATACATATATCATCTTAAACATGTGGTCTTCATATGATTTAAAATAAATTTATGCACGTAACCAATCTCGGTTTCTCCTACCAAGAAGTGTACACAGTTTAATTAATTTTTTTTAAATTCGTTTAGTGGGGGGTGGAGTCCAACTGGGTCCACTCGGCACGGCGGCCACTGATTGGTCTATTGTAGCCTGCTCCGGGTGATTATGATGATGGAGAATTTGGTGGAATGAAAATTGGAAGGAGAAATCGAAGTACTTGGAGAAAACCCGCCCCAGCGACACTTTATCCACCACAAATCTCCCTTGACCAGACCCGGGATCGAACCCGTGCCGCCGCGGTAGGAAGCCAGCGACTAACCGCTTGAGCTATGGCGCGGCCTTAAAACCAGGATACTTGAGATGATAGGACGATGATACAATAAGATACCATAATAAAGATAATATTACAGTTATTAAGGCAATAAAATTACAAGTTTATAAGTGGGACATATAATAATCTGCAGACCGAGATTTGAAACCAGAAATTCCCGAATATGCAGCAGGAGAGATGCACACTCCACTGCCAAGCTTTCAAGATGGTCAGTGCATGTAAATAGCAATATAGGATGAATACTTGAAGGTTTAGGCTGAAGGATAATATTAAAAGTACACGAGGCAGGATATAAGGGTTTAGGCTGTATTCGTCTGCATCTGTACACAGTCCAGTTGTGAACAGGATAATAATTCAAAATGAAATTTATATCCTTTAATTTATTTACTTATGCTACTCAGTCTTGAGTTCATTACAACTGAACATTCCAATAATTTCACTATATACAGTGTGAGCAACGTAAAGTGTCCTGTACAATATGTACTAATTTTAAACTGCGCAGATAGGAAATATCACAGCATTTGGTACCTAATGCATAGTCATATATTCATTATGCAGAGGTTATATTTTGTGGTGTAGTAAGCATGTCATTGGAGGAGCCGTTGTTTAGTTGTGGACGGGGTGGTTAGCCAGTTAGAGGAGAGGTGGACCAATTATACCCTTGCTTCATATGATGACGGATGGGCGGGCGCACGAGCTAACGGTTATGGGAAGTCGGGGCAGTGGAGCGACCGTAGCGAAGCAAGTGGGAGCAACACGTCAGTTGCTTGCCGGCATTCGGCCGAGGCGGTTAGCGCTGATTGCAGTTGTGGCTAGACTTGCGTCCTCAACACGTCATCGCGATTCGAAGTGCCGCTGAAGGCAGGCGACGTCATATAGTGGACAGGTCTTGACATTACGAGTTTATTGTGTAACAGTGGATTCTGTAAACGGTGATATTTCCTATATATTTGAAACAGATATTGTAATTTTATTGGTTTACATGTGTGTGCAAGGAAACTGTTCAAGCCTTTGGATGCTTCTTGGTAATGAGGTGAGTCAATTTTTATAACTGCAAATAGATTATAGCGATCCCAAAATTGATTCAAACATTTGGCAGCACGTTACGTTTCTGACTCACACGGAATTACCTGCTGTGTGTTCTCAATGCAATATTTGGTAAACATTTGGTAAACATTAATTTCCATTTCTGTCCTCCTATAATGTACAATAACCCTTGAAAGTCATAGTGAATTGGTAGGGATGTGGACAGAAGCGGTTATGGCCTAAATTGCCATATGGAGGAATGTTCTAGGAAGGAAGTAAAGATAGTTGATATCTGTCCGATATTCGAACTTGCCAAGTAAGAAGCGTTACCACGTGATCCAGCTAGCTCGGCCGACGTCACGGTGGTTACCATATGTGCCCCATTCAACTCTGTAATTTTCCTACAAACTGTTTCTTGTATGAGTATGGTTCCAAGAATAACAGGGGATTATTGCTTTAATTAACAGGAGTGGCTGATGTGTTTTCTTTGAGGTATGAACCAAATTTCTAATTGTTTTCTGCGTGAATTTAATTTATTTTCTCTCCCCCCCCCCCCCCCAACTCCCTCCACTAACGCTATCTCTTCTTCAGGCTACAAAGCGTTTGAATTTTTTTTTTATTTGATCCTCTGAAAGACGTCAGTGCGTACTCGTATTCGACACGTGCCACTCCTCCGGGTGAATGTAGGCAGCAGGTTCCTTCGACACGGCGGTGGGAACCTCACGAGATTAGGCTGTCACAACACCGAACATGGCAGAGCCATGAAAACGTCAGGTTTTAGCCATGTGGGGAAATGTGCTACATTTCCTCTTCGTTCATATCAGCCCCATTCGACTCTGCTCCATTGAGCCCCATTCAATCTACCGGCAGGCGGGAGAGGCCAGTTTTCTTGTGCGTGCTGCGTATTGGAGCAGCATATGCTTTGCTTCTAGGCGCATGAAATTTGTGCAAAAGTATAGCAAGTGTCACGTAACTTCGAACAAGGCCAAGAGTAACCTTGAATGTGCAGAAGAAAATTTTCGGACAAGGGGTTGGAGGGTGTGAGAAGTGACAGGCGACCAGTTGTTTGTAAGACACCCTCGAAGCAGGTTATACTTGCGGTTTTTCTATCATCTGTTTAAAAAGGTCAGTTTCCTTGTGCGCTAAATCGTACATAATGAGTAAGAAATTAGGTCAGGGTATAGGTCTCAACGTCGATCTATGGCATGTACTGTCTTCGCTCGCTTGGAAACCGGGATCGTGGGTTCGAATCCCACTCAGGGCATGGATGGTTAGTTTGTGTGTGTGCGTTTTTCTGTGTTTGTATACAGGTAGAGGCCTTGCGACGAGCTGATCACCCGCCCAAGGAGTCCTACCGAATGTGTAAGATCTAGAAAAACCGACGTGAACGGAGAAGTTCATGGAGGTAGGCCTAGGCCCACTGGGGCTGTAGTGCCAAGGGGGAGAAAATGTTGCTTTTACTTAGGAGAAGGTTGCATATATATAATTTGTAAGTTTCTTACGGTGGTGAATATTTTGCTTCTGGTCTTCCATGGTGGGAAACAAGATATTAAAGTAGTACAAAATTTATTATAATGGTACATTTAATACAACAAAATTGTGTGTATGTATTAATGATAATAACAGGTTAATATGTATGAATGTTCGAGATGAGTAACAGGCATCTGCGCTGATCCCTCATTACTTACTTACTTACTCATGGAGCTGAGCCCTTCTGGAGGAGCCGCCAATTCTGCAGCCACCCAAGAATTTCCCAGCATTTTATGGGACCCGAAGGTTCATTACTGTGTTCACAAGAGCCCTCCACTGGTCCCTATCCTGAGCCAGATCTATCCAATCCATACCATCCCATCCTATCTCTCTAAGATCCATTCTAATATTGTCCACCCACCTACGCCTTGGTCTTCCCTGTGGTATGTTTCCTTCTGGCTTTCCCACCAATATCCTATACGCAGTCCTCGTCTCCCCCATTCGTGCTACATGACCTGCCCACCTCATCCTCCTTGACTTGATCATTGTCATACATGTGAAATCTCTTACAACTGCCTTTCCTAATACAGTTCGTACTGCGTTCCACATTCCTCGGCCTTGAAAAGTAACTTTCAAAAGCTTCTTTTAGGACGGCCGCACACCAAATGCGTCAAGATAAGCATCAAGACATGAGACAAAAGACGCAGTATTGCTTCATTCCTGCTTCGTCAGGATCATGACTCAGACATGTGTGCGACGGTTTTCATAATCTCATTCGTTTCAGCTGTGCTCTTTTCTTTGCGTCATGTCGCAGACATCGTGTCTTGACTGTTACATGTCTTGACGCTTGGCGATGTGCGGCCTACCTTAGAAATTGGGTGGGAAAACAATAACGGAAATGATTTATAGAAGTTTTAATGTTATTTCGAAAATACAATGTCCCATTTTATTTCTTAAAATAAAAAAGTAGCATCAGCAGAAAACTGAAGACGGGTTTTGAAGCAAATGTAAATAATCACTTAGAGCAGAGCAAGACGTAATCACGGAAATATGACCGACAAGTTTTTTTTTCTTTCAGTTCAATGTTGTTTTACTTGTTATGTTATTGAAATATGCTCTTTGTGAAAGGAGTTGATGGATTGCACAGGAATGGCAATGACTGCTTATTATCTGGATCTGTAACCCCCGCAGGAACATACACGTAACAGCGATGTTATNTGTGATTTCGAATATTTCGAATATAAGCCGCACCCCAGTTTTCCTCTTGAATTTTTGGCAAAAAATGTGCGGCCTATACATGCGTAAATACGGTATTATCAGAACATAATATGAATTTCGTTTGGAAAACTTTACAGCTGAATTGATTTTATTAAATTTCGTATCCTGGAATTTTACCAAAATTTGTATATATAAATTTTGGACAAAAACGGCCGGAACTTGAAGATCTACATGAGTTGTTCCGCGCGTTGAGCGAGAGCTGACCGTGTGTAACTGGCTAAATGCTACTCTCACAACGAAAAGACGTTTCGGACAAGGGTAGCAGGGAGCGATTAAACAAAAAGAAAATTATGTATAATAACCTTTTTCTAAGACTTTCGGTTGCCGAGATATTTACATAAGAATGAACGAAAGCGGAAGTTATTTTATGGCAATGTTCTGTACTGTACTGTTTCCATCTTCAGTATCGAAAATTAGGCTATCAAACTACACTGCATCATGTGCGGGAAGACAATACATTATAACCCAAACAGCCATATTCTTCAAGGTCTTCTTCGTATACCTTTAGTCACGAGCACTCCGTGTCCTGTCGTCATGTAGAAACTGGGAAGTTATTACTTTTGTACACGTAGTGTGAATGGCTCATAACTCTTAATCAAAGAAATGGTAAGTGACTTTTATGTCTACACCCCTAATAATTTGTATGCTTTCATGCTGCAAAATCAGCCACGCATCTCATCTGTCCAAGATATTCCTCGCTTTTACTAAACCTGAAAGTTTATTGCCTTATTCACAAGAGCCAACCACAGAGACAGTTGAATCGAACTAATATCCTAGCATCTTATTGATTAATGATCCATTTTAATATCATCTGCCCCCTAATTTTGGGTCTGCTAGGTGGCGTTTTCGTTTCAGATTTTTACAGAGAGTTAGTTTAGGAACATATCCCATCCCTGTGCTTCTTGTCTACGATAATAAAATGGTGTTCTTTTTCTGGGTCACAGAGAATATCATGAAAACAGAATAAATATCGACTGGGAATGGCATGAAGGAGGAAGGTGATTCCCCTAAATTACTCCAAGTGTTGATGATAACTTAATGTTAGTACTGATACTTATCAAGGAGGATATATAATAAAATTATTACTAATAATTCTGAAGCCTCTTCGTCTGGGTTTCTTCAGTAAATTGAGTTGCCCTGAGGGCTTAATTGCACTGTTTGGGCTCAGTCAAATTATTTAAAATTTGGACGTTTCTTCAGAAAAAATTTTATCTCTGCTTAACACTATGACATGACGCCTGAAAGTTGTAATAGCGGAGACAGAATAGACGTTTATTGCTAGGCAATAACTTGGTAAACAGGTTCATGTGGAAATGAATACGCATGCAACAACAGAAGAACTGCCGTTTTTGTGCAACGGATAGGGAAACACGCCTCTATAAAAATACGAGTTATTATTAGAAAACGATGTTTTCTCTGGGATCCGCCTCGAGTCTATGGAACGAGGATCCAAGGCCGACAGAATTAGAATTGAGGGACTTTCTTGAGATGCTAGTCGAAAATTATTGAGAAGAAATATCAAGAAAGGAATTAGGCTGTACAAAGACGACGTCAAGTGTGCTTCAATTGCCATAAGACTGGTACAATACCTGTGTTAAAATCCGTTACCAGGATACGACTAGTGAAGACTGAGGACACTAGTGGGTGTGTACTTGTAACGGTGAAATGTGAAGTGTGTAGATCAACGCTAGCGCTGTAATTGTCTATAATTCCGAGTGATGTGTTCAATAAATCCAATCCAAACCCCGTCTAATAGTCACCCCTAAATCGTGGTAATAATATTACAAGGGTAATGCCTTCAGAAATATCAGTACGTTTAAGTCTACACGTATTCCTGAAGTTAATTACTAAATATAATATATATCATGTGAACTGATTGGACCATTGTCAATCAGCAAATGGTCCATTCAGAGCAACACCAATTTCTTTACACAATAAAATATCGCTGACGCTCGAGGCTATGTTGACAGGTAAATGTTTTGTAAAAATTACTCATGTAAAGCCATGCCTCTTTTCTGCACTGTCCAGACTGGCTCGGGGTTTTCATAGCCTCGTATCCAATGGGTACACGAAGGGCAGTTTCCCCAAGGGTAACGTGGCCGGGGCGTGAAACTGACCACTGACCTCTAACCACTCCCCCATATGTATTTACGGAATAATGCTTATTTAGTCACAGGTTCAAGTTTACCTAATATAATATATGTTTGCATATGTAACTCCTTGAATCATACTTGCGCAAATAAAGAAAAGGCCTAATAT